CTGTACATCGCAACCAAAAAAACTTGTCAAATCAACCAAATCAGTACTGTAAACAGTTCCATGAATGCTCCTATCTCCGAGACTTATAGTTCACAAAAATATAACTCTTGCACGCCTTGCGTGCCTATGTTTTCTGTTCGCCAAGACGCCGCAGTCACCTTCCAGACTCCACTTGTCACTCAAACATTACTGGCATTGTATTAATATTATAGGCATGTGTGCTAAAAACGTTGCCTAATATCTGTCATAGTGAAACCATTGTTTAGCCGCTTTTACCAGAAGAAAAATGTCTATTTTGTTTCCGTATCGTTTGTGTTCTAGTGAGTTCGTGTTTCGTCGTTTCAAAGCATGTCGCTATAAAGAGGCCCACTTCAACGAGAATGCTATGAGGCTTGTCAATCACCTGGTGTAGTTTTTATTAGACTAAAACTCAATTTAACATTAACAAGAATTGAGAAACTCCTTTATAAAACTTTCTATTACAACTACTAACAAATACCAAAAAATCAGTTGGACTGAAAGCTTCATTTTTACTCACTTTTTCTTAAGTAAATACCCGTAGAATAGTATTGGACTGGTTTGTTCACACACTCTGAGAAGTGTTTCAACAGACCAATTTCGATATATTAAAATTCAGCCTAAAACAATAGACCTCAGCATGAGGCTCCGGGGAATAAACCCCACAAACTCTGCAGTTAATCCCTGAAGCCTGGTGCTGAGGTCTATTGTTTTAGGCTGAATTTTAATATATCGAAATTGGTCTATTACATACTGAAAATGACAGTGATTTTACAAGAACGTGATTTCCAGCTAAACTAACAAAAACTTGGCGCCGAGTCATTTGCTAATGCTTAATCTTTTTTGTGGTATAGTTTAACCCATTTTTGCACTGAATATTAAGCGCGCGTTTCAAAAAAAATGCGACTACAGACTTAAAAATCAAAGTTACTTGCAGACTACTAAGTTTGTTTTAGATTCATTTATGATAAATGTTCTTTGAAGTTTCTATGCTTGATGCTGCTATAGTTGATAGTCTCTTATATCAACCAAATGTGAACTACTGAATCGGGTGTTGATTGTTCAACTGCCTTCCTTCTCGGTTATGCTCTAGTTTCAATTAACTTCACTTATTTCACTGTTCATTTCGGTTTGTCAGTTCTTTACCATGTGTTTAAGGACTCGAGACTGTGAATATTCAAAATTCAAAATTTGCGCCTGTCGAACTGGATACAAACATATGGAGTTTGAACGTCTTGAGAGCTATTGTAGACTGCTCCTCTGCACAAACTGGCGCTGATGGGCTTACAGCAAGGGCGGTCGTATTCCATTCCACAAATGTTATTGCAATGGTTATAAGGGCAATGAAGACATCTTCAGAAACACAGTTGTTGTCTGTACGCCTGCGAACAGCAGTTAACACATTCTCCAACAGGATATCTATCTCTTCAACTGTTCCCTCTGTCGAAAAGTTCCAGCCAAAGCTGTAGATGCCAGACGGTGAATAGAACTGATTCCAAACACTGTCATTGAAACAGAAGACCAACCAAAGGCAGCTCTTTTTATTTAAGACTGTCCTGGCTATGAGTTATTCATCTATTGTATGAGATTTTGACATCTCCATTATAAGGCTTCCTGAGAACCCGGTGCAACCTCTGGAAGATCACATATTCATCTACAGCCTGCTGCATGACACTCCACCTCACTCAGGCTTAGTTGGCGTTTCCATTCCACCTTCCAACCTATTTTCTCTTCTTAGGGTTAAATGGCTTCGTGACTATATGCTTTAGAGATTTTCATGAGTCAAAAAGACCTTCTTCACGCCTTCTTGTTTCTTCGTCTAGAAATTAGTTGTTTATAGCACTTCATCAAATCTGTGACGTCCTGTCATGCCGTTCAAAACTCAACCCCAGATGAACTGTTGTTCGTGCCACGAGTCTGCTGCATTCAGCCTTCTTCAATAACCTTCAGTGGATTCATGTTCTTGTAACTTTATCCTTTAATCACAAATTTGATTCACCGCGCACAACCACGTGGAACTTTTCACCTTTCCACCTAATCAGAAGCACTACGTAAGAATTAGTTGCCATGAAAAATAATGACACTTTTCCATTCAGTTAACTGTCCTTCTTCCATTTTCATTGCTCTGCTGTACACCTCCTGCATCCTTCGCTTCCAACCGGAATGTCTTCGCCACCTCGCACAATCCATCCCGTGAAATAAACATGGCCTTGGTCGCATGATTTCCAGACGTCTCTTTGGTACCCTGGGAAATTTGCGAAGTCTTTTGCTTCAAGAGGGAGGAGTGGCAGGCTCATCTCTGTTCTCAACAAGTTGACCGTTTCTCTCAGCCATTCGAGGTCTAGAACATCGTCGTTACCTTTAAGAAAGACTCTGAAGCGATGGCATGCCAGCCTCAGTCGAGTTGTACCATTGCTTGACAAAGGGATCTGACGCATCATAGCCTTGCTTTGGGCCTCTAAAACTTGAGAGAAAAGAAAGAACTTTCTTGTCTGTTCAAACACTTGACTTAGAGTTTTCAAATCAAGTTGAGGTTCCTCCAGGTACACTTTAATCTTTTCGATTGCATCTTTGGTGTTGTTCCATAGTTCTTTCAGCTCCACTTGTTGTTGTGAACTTCCTCGAAGACCAATAAACGCCTTTTTTAGGACTTCATCTGTTCTTTGCGCTTGCTGTAGAATGAACAGGTGATTTTTTAGTGTGAACATAAAAATGGCAAAGCGGCCACGCGCGTGCGGCAAATCGAGCCAGTTCCTTGTGTTTGAATACGACTGTACAACACGTAGAACCATTGGCGGAAACTTAAGCTTGGTTACGTCATTGCGCAGGTAACGTTTTGGTAGAAGAAGACTGGCAGAAGTGATTTCTTCGTATAGGATCTCGTATACGGTTTTCTTTACATTTTCAATTTTTTTCAGTGCCCTTTTGATGATATTTCCATAACGATAGCTGAATGTAATTGATGTAGAACACTTTGGGCATCGCCTTAGCTGACCATCGTTACCCAGTTCTCGGAGCATCCACCTATCCATCTCTTCAACCTTTATGATATGACCACAGTCGAAAAGTTGCAAACATCGTGTGGGTTCCGTTTTGTTTCCACGTCCATCCGCTAACATTGAAGAAAGCTTCTTAGGATGGCAAATGGCACACACAGTGGGGCAGTTTTCTCCACACAAGCCAATACAGGGGTGGCGACAAGGCAGTTTTTTGGGACAGGGAGCATCACAGCGAGGGCGATCGCATTCCTCTCCACAGAGATTTTTGCACTGGTAGTGAGGACAATTCCAGGTGCACGGTCTTCTGCA